TCATTTTTTGGCCAAAATTGAAAAAAAAACAAGGGGTTAGCCTTACATTTTTAACCAAATTTGGCCAAAAATTGAATTTTCTCCAAACAACGCAGAAAAACCTCTGGAGACGAGTGGAGCATGCATGAATCAATATTCAAACACCCACATTTTGGCAGATCTGGGCAAATATCATCCATTTTTGGGGGAGGAAATACATGAAATAAAACCGAATTTTGACTGTTTTTGCCCCAAATTTTCGGCCAAATTTTCTTTGTATTGGCACATCTGTTCCCAAATCGAATTGGAATGTGTTCAGGGTTATCTTAGGCATCTTTCCTGCAAGTTTCAAGGAATTTCATTTTTTGGCCAAAATTGAAAAAAAAACAAGGGGTTAGCCTTACATTTTTCATCAAAATTGGCCAAAAAATGACTTTTCTCAAAACAACGCAGAAATTCCTCTGGAGACGAGTGGAGCATGAATCAATATTTAGACACCCACATTTCGGCAGATCTAAGCAAATATCATCCATTTTGAAGGGAGGAAATACATGTAAATAAAACCGAATTTTGACTGTTTTTACCCCAAATTTTCGGCCAAATTTTCTTTTCAAAGGCACATCTGTTCCCAAATCGGATTGGAATGTGTTCAGGGCTACATTAGGCATCTTTCCTGCAAGTTTCAAGGAATGTCATTTTTTGGCCAAAATTGACAAAAAAAACAAGGGGTTAGCCTTACATTTTTAACCAAATTTGGCCAAAAATTGAATTTTCTCCAAACAACGCAGAAAAACCTCTGGAGACGAGTGGAGCATGAATCAATATTCAAACACCCACATTTTGGCAGATCTGGGCAAATATCATCCATTTTGGAGGGAGGAAATACATGTAAAAAAAACCGAATTTTGACTGTTTTTGCCCCAAATTTTCGGCCAAATTTTCTTTTCAAAGGCACATCTGTTCCCAAATCGAATTGGAATGTGTTCAGGGTTATCTTAGGCATCTTTCCTGCAAGTTTCAAGGAATTTCATTTTTTGGCCAAAATTGAAAAAAAAACAAGGGGTTAGCCTTACATTTTTCATCAAAATTGGCCAAAAAATGACTTTTCTCAAAACAACGCAGAAATTCCTCTGGAGAGGAGTGGAGCATGAATCAATATTCAGACACCCACATTTCGGCAGATCTAAGCAAATATCATCCATTTTGAAGGGAGGAAATACATGTAAATAAAACCGAATTTTGACTGTTTTTACCCTAAATTTTCGGCCAAATTTTCTTTTCAAAGGCACATCTGTTCCCAAATCGGATTGGAATGTGTTCAGGGCTACATTAGGCATCTTTCCTGCAAGTTTCAAGGAATGTCATTTTTTGGCCAAAATTGACAAAAAAAACAAGGGGTTAGCCTTACATTTTAAACCAAATTTGGCCAAAAATTGAATTTTCTCCAAACAACGCAGAAAAACCTCTGGAGACGAGTGGAGCATGAATCAATATTCAAACACCCACATTTTGGCAGATCTGGGCAAATATCATCCATTTTGGGGGAGGAAATACATGTAAATAAAACCGAATTTTGACTGTTTTTGCCCCAAATTTTCGGCCAAATTTTCTTTGTATTGGCACATCTGTTCCCAAATCGAATTGGAATGTGTTCAGGGTTATCTTAGGCATCTTTCCTGCAAGTTTCAAGGAATTTCATTTTTTGGCCAAAATTGAAAAAAAAACAAGGGGTGAGCCTTACATTTTGAACCAAATTTGGCCAAAAATTTACTTTTCTCAAAACAACGCAGAAATTCCTCTGGAGACGAGTGGAGCATGAATCAATATTCAGACACCCACATTTCGGCAGATCTAAGCAAATATCATCCATTTTGAAGGGAGGAAATACATGTAAATAAAACCGAATTTTGACTGTTTTTACCCCAAATTTTCGGCCAAATTTTCTTTTCCAAGGCACATCTGTTCCCAAATCGGATTGGAATGTGTTCAGGGCTACATTAGGCATCTTTCCTGCAAGTTTCAAGGAATGTCATTTTTTGGCCAAAATTGACAAAAAAAAACAAGGGGTTAGCCTTACATTTTTAACCAAATTTGGCCAAAAATTGAATTTTCTCCAAACAACGCAGAAAAACCTCTGGAGACGAGTGGAGCATGAATCAATATTCAGACACCCACATTTCGGCAGATCTAAGCAAATATCATCCATTTTGAAGGGAGGAAATACATGTAAATAAAACCGAATTTTGACTGTTTTTACCCCAAATTTTCAGCCAAATTTTCTTTTCAAAGGCACATCTGTTCCCAAATCGGATTGGAATGTGTTCAGGGCTACATTAGGCATCTTTCCTGAAAGTTTCAAGGAATGTCATTTTTTGGCCAAAATTGAAAAAAAAACAAGGGGTTAGCCTTACATTTTTAACCAAATTTGGCCAAAAATTGAATTTTCTCCAAACAACGCAGAAAAACCTCTGGAGACGAGTGGAGCATGCATGAATCAATATTCAAACACCCACATTTTGGCAGATCTGGGCAAATATCATCCATTTTTGGGGGAGGAAATACATGAAATAAAACCGAATTTTGACTGTTTTTGCCCCAAATTTTCGGCCAAATTTTCTTTGTATTGGCACATCTGTTCCCAAATCGAATTGGAATGTGTTCAGGGTTATCTTAGGCATCTTTCCTGCAAGTTTCAAGGAATTTCATTTTTTGGCCAAAATTGAAAAAAAAACAAGGGGTTAGCCTTACATTTTTCATCAAAATTGGCCAAAAAATGACTTTTCTCAAAACAACGCAGAAATTCCTCTGGAGACGAGTGGAGCATGAATCAATATTTAGACACCCACATTTCGGCAGATCTAAGCAAATATCATCCATTTTGAAGGGAGGAAATACATGTAAATAAAACCGAATTTTGACTGTTTTTACCCCAAATTTTCGGCCAAATTTTCTTTTCAAAGGCACATCTGTTCCCAAATCGGATTGGAATGTGTTCAGGGCTACATTAGGCATCTTTCCTGCAAGTTTCAAGGAATGTCATTTTTTGGCCAAAATTGACAAAAAAAACAAGGGGTTAGCCTTACATTTTTAACCAAATTTGGCCAAAAATTGAATTTTCTCCAAACAACGCAGAAAAACCTCTGGAGACGAGTGGAGCATGAATCAATATTCAAACACCCACATTTTGGCAGATCTGGGCAAATATCATCCATTTTGGAGGGAGGAAATACATGTAAAAAAAACCGAATTTTGACTGTTTTTGCCCCAAATTTTCGGCCAAATTTTCTTTTCAAAGGCACATCTGTTCCCAAATCGAATTGGAATGAGTTCAGGGTTATCTTAGGCATCTTTCCTGCAAGTTTCAAGGAATTTCATTTTTTGGCCAAAATTGAAAAAAAAACAAGGGGTTAGCCTTACATTTTTCATCAAAATTGGCCAAAAAATGACTTTTCTCAAAACAACGCAGAAATTCCTCTGGAGAGGAGTGGAGCATGAATCAATATTCAGACACCCACATTTCGGCAGATCTAAGCAAATATCATCCATTTTGAAGGGAGGAAATACATGTAAATAAAACCGAATTTTGACTGTTTTTACCCTAAATTTTCGGCCAAATTTTCTTTTCAAAGGCACATCTGTTCCCAAATCGGATTGGAATGTGTTCAGGGCTACATTAGGCATCTTTCCTGCAAGTTTCAAGGAATGTCATTTTTTGGCCAAAATTGACAAAAAAAACAAGGGGTTAGCCTTACATTTTAAACCAAATTTGGCCAAAAATTGAATTTTCTCCAAACAACGCAGAAAAACCTCTGGAGACGAGTGGAGCATGAATCAATATTCAAACACCCACATTTTGGCAGATCTGGGCAAATATCATCCATTTTGGGGGGAGGAAATACATGTAAATAAAACCGAATTTTGACTGTTTTTGCCCCAAATTTTCGGCCAAATTTTCTTTGTATTGGCACATCTGTTCCCAAATCGAATTGGAATGTGTTCAGGGTTATCTTAGGCATCTTTCCTGCAAGTTTCAAGGAATTTCATTTTTTGGCCAAAATTGAAAAAAAAACCAAGGGGTGAGCCTTACATTTTGAACCAAATTTGGCCAAAAATTTACTTTTCTCAAAACAACGCAGAAATTCCTCTGGAGACGAGTGGAGCATGAATCAATATTCAAAGACCCACATTTTGGCAGATCTAGGCAAATATCATGCATTTTTGGTGGAGGAACTACATGTAAATAAAACCGAATTTTTACCTCTAGGGTATGTACCTCTAGGGGCAACCATTAATAGTCGCCCCTAGAGGTACGGTTACCTCTACGGGCGATCATTCGCGGTCGCCCCTAGAGGTACTCTAGAAATTCACGATATATCGAACTGAAATAACATATGTGGTGGTTTGACATAATATAATAAAACAAATCTGTTGAATGTCAAGAGAAATTGTCAAACAATGATATGGCCCGAACAATTAACCAAGTGCGTTCAGTGCGAAAAAAAAATATATTAGTCTAAACGAAAGTCAACTTTCATTGAACGAAAACAACATACTCGTTTTCCAGACGATAACTCTAGAAATACCCGATGTATCGAACTGAAATAACATCTGGTAATTTGACAAGATATTATGACACAAATCTGTTGAACGTCAGGAGAAATGTCCAGAAAATTTGAATAATATAGTTCGAACAACCCAGTGCGTTCAGTGCAAAAAATACACTAGTCTGAACGAAAGTCAACTTTCATTGAACAAAAACCAACATACTCGTTTTCCAGACAATATTAAACATTCTTTTCGGTCAAAATGAAAACGGTAAGGGGTTAACCTTGTGCAAATGTATTTTAATTAAATGGTGAAGAAAATTAGATTTTTTTTTTCTAAATCATCAAACATTATTTTGGGTCAAGATAGTCTTTTTTTAATTAACCAAAATTTCTGGGTAATAATTAAATTAAATTAGGGTAAACTTGTAACAAACAGATCAAACACTAAAAAAAAAAGGTACCACACTGCACAAATATTAGTCATAGACTTTTATTTAACATCTTTGGATCCTCAAATATTAAAAAGGCATCCATTTCTGAACACAAAACTTGCAGCACTACACTGTAAATGGGCAATCTACCAGACTGACTTACGAACAAGTTGAAGTTGATGTCATCAGCGAGAATTTAACAGCATCCTCTCTGGTCGAATATAAAAACCAAACGGGCAATACTTGGAGCAGTGGTCTTGGTTGAAATACATGCCAGCAATACTTGGAAAATTGCAAAATGCACTGTACATTTCAACAGGATAATTGATTGAAAACAGGTGTTAACAATAGGTACATGTACAGAGGGAGCTGGGCCGAGTTCAGTTTTTGCAACCTAACTTAAACTGCGAGACCACGTCCATGTCGTTTTCCCTTTGATTATAAAGAAAAACTGCCATGTTCACTCTAAAAGGGAAGGCCCATGCTGCTTTATACCGGTTTGAAAAAGCAAGGCATCCTGCCAAAATTTATGAAAGATCCTTCTAGGACATCTCGAAACCACTGGCACAAAAACACAACTCAATAGAAACTGGGTAAAAGGAACTCTCAATACAATTACGAAAATTGACTACATCTACTCTACAAAAGCGACCTTTTTTTTCGTCGAATATTACAGAGCTACATGAGGTTTTACATACACGTACAGGGTTTTTTCATCTGCAGGCAACTTTCAGAAATTTGATGCAACATTCAATAATAAAAACCCAACAGATATACTCATCTTCCAGAGAACTCTGAATTTGTTTTGTTTTTATCTTACAATATCAATGAACAAGCAGACTTTTTAATACCAGCTACACATGAATTCATGGTACACAGTTCAAGTCCAATGGTTTTTGTTTTTTCTACATTTATAAATTTACAAATGAAATAGATAACACGCTGTTTTCTCTGATTTTTGAATATTTTTGTATATAACTTTTTTGTTACAAGCATTTCTTCTTTAGTTTTGGGACTTTTTTCCAAATGGTTAGAAAAATCAGTGCCCCAAGGAAACAGCAGTTTATTTTTTAATCAATTCAACAATCTTATGACAACCAACACGACTGAATTCCAAAATTATTTACATCACATCAACTTGCCCCAAATGTCACAATTTTTTTTTAAAAATGCCCCTCCTGAATTCAACTTTAAAACCTTGACAATATCAGAAGTGTATGTTAAACCACTTCTAAATCTGAATAAATGCTAATTGAACCCAGTTCCTCAAGTACAGAAATCTGATCAAAAATTATTCATCGTATTCATTTGAGTATCTGACCACCTGTCACATTCAGAACATGGAATTATGCATTCACATTAGCCAATGGGTTTCACAGTTCTAGACCCAAACAAAAATGAAAGAGGGGGCTAAAAAATAATTAATGCATAATTAAGTTTTGAGGGCCTGGTTTAGCTTTAAAATCCCTTGGGAAAAATTCAGTAAATTTACAAACTCACAGGAAGTAAATGACACGGGTGTTAGGGTTGGGACATGGGAATACAAAATATTACCCCCACTTCTAAAATGAAGCGTTTAACAGAAGACCACTTAAATAATGTTGAATTTCACTGGGATAAAGTGGGAACAAAATTCTAAAAATCAACGATCGCTAAGGGAACCCTTAATGAAGCCTTGGTGAGATATAACTTTCGTGTTTAAGATGTCTGTGTTCAGTCTATAAATTTGGGATCCAAGGTGTGACAATTTTCCTGTCCCTGTTACCTTGGTAGTTTGTAATTTGTCATTCAAGTATCATTAAGAATGATTTCATACCATTTTGTTTTTGTTGGGTAGGTAGTTTGCTATTCATAATCACTCTTGGAGGACGACTGCATTAGGGAGTGCATCAGAATTATACAATCATAGATGTCAGATGTAACAGGGACAGGGAAAAAGTGGGCCCCAGATTTACCGAATGACCCATACAACATGGGCAGAAAGACACGGTTTTTGAGAGAAACAAAATGCGTCATAATACTTGCAGCATCTTCACAGTCCCACAATATAATATCAACAATTCTGTGAAAGGTTTTGCTACACTTACTTCCTTCTTTCATCCGATTATTTCCAGATGGACCATCACCATTTTACAAAAATTAACCTAACCCCTTGAGTAATTTACTAGGAGCCTTCCTCACTCTTGCAAAATCCAACACCATGGTAAACTCAACACCCAAACTGTTGGACTCTTGATTATGGTGGTATGCCTGACCCCATGTAAAGCATAATCAGTTTACTAGTGCAGTACTCGCTCCCACAAATTCCAACAAAACATTCAGTTGGATTTTGAAGGGTTGAGCAATAGGGTCAAGAAGGCTAAAAGTAAGTGGTGGGGTACAATTTTTGAACTATGAATACTTACAATAAACATTTTGTGCTTTGTATTTTCAAAATAGGTTGATTTTTCATGACTTTGCTATGCCCCCCCCCCCCAAGAAATTTAAAATAATTCACTCTTTCCATACTTTGGACAGAGAAATTACAACTCCTCAAAAATGCTGAGAAATGTCATGGGGCTTAAAAATGAAAAATTTGTTTGCAAACAAAGATCTAGATACTGATCTTTTAAATCGTTAGTCACATCCAAAATTTCAGGGGGAAAAAAAATCTGTTTCCATGAAACTGGTGAACGGAAAAATATTCAACAACTTAACTTTCTGAATTATGGTACAATAAAGAAAAACAGATTGATGATTGTTTTTCTCTAACTTTTCTTCCCAGAAATAAACGGTTGCCAGCGAATATACTGCAAGGTAGAGAGAGAGAAACAGGTTTTTATATTCACATGGCCCTTCAAAATGAACAGCATCTATACAAACAAATTTCTGTTTACATACAAACAAACAAAAATTAATTTTACAACCCAATTTTTTTTTACAAACCAATGTATTTTAGGACTAGGCCTGGCACCATGTTATGAAGAGGTGTCAATTTTTGGTGGGTTTGTGGCTAAATAAATTTAGTAAAAATGTTCAAAACATTGGCTGTTTTGCATTTTCTGGTTTTATTTTAACTGTCTTATCGGGATTTTTCATTGGATGAGTACAGGCATGCGTGTTCAAGATTTGCCCAAATTTAGGGACTACATGCAGATTCGAATGGTCCTAGTTTACCACACAATAATCTCTATCAATCTGCACTAGAACAAAGAACAATACGATTGTCTATTTTTTTGTTTAGCCAAATTCAACAAATATTTCAAATATTTATTATTACAAAAAAAAGTTTCGTCATTAAATAAAGTCTGAGTAATGTACATGAGGTACATTTGAATGTTCTTAAAGAGGTTTTCTAAAGAATGGTCCCGCTACTAATTAAGGAAAGTACGCCCTCTTGTGGCCAGTTATGAAAAGGATCTCAAGAGTTCTATAAATGGGTTTCGACCGCACAATGAAAAAATTCAAATTTGGTTTTGAATTGTTTTGTTTTCATGCGAGGGCAATTGCCGATCCCCATCTAAAGAAAGGACGTGAAAATCTGTCCAGAAGCAAGAACGGAAAAAAAGTGAAGCATTCCTCATCTCAACATTCGCTGGAGATACTTTTACGAACAGACACATACTGCTTACGGCACAATGTGATCATATTGCACCATAATAAAACATCATACATGTAAAAAATCACACTAAAAAAAAAAATTTAAATCAATATACACACACTACTGTGTAACGTCCATGTATAATTCACCCGATCCCAACAACGCGATTTCTCATTTTTTAAAAGTGAGAATATATAATTACAATATTTTTTTGTCAACTGTTTGAACAACAAATAACCAACAGTAGTAAACAGCTAATGAGAACATAATCTTTTACTCGCATTAAACTCGACAAACATCATGAAACATGGCAGGCAGACCTATATACAATTCTCTCTCTTATATATATTTGTTTTCTTTCTTTTTTTTTATCTCGTAAGAGGAAGGCAGTATACTCTAAATTTCCAAATTTTTTGCGGATAAAAAGTGGGCGGAAAACCCCCACAAAAATTGTCAGAGCCTTTCAAATCGAAACAAAATTCTGTAATACGTGGATTGGAAAACTGACTTGAAATGCTTTGTTTTGCTGAGAACACAAGTTAATATTCAAGACTATTTACATACTAATGTCATCCAATGCTTGAACACCCTTCCCCCCATCAAGGAAATTATAAATGTTATCGGCGAGACACACCCGTTTTCAAAATGGCCTGCCAAGTCATGCATGTACTTGGAGCGACTCAAAATCAACCCAAATAAAATTTGGTTTCCCAATTTCCAAAAAAATGTGTGGACTACTTCTAACACATACCTGAAAAACGGCCTTAAAAACCACCTTCTCCTGTGCTTGTCCTCTACAAGACGGGAACAAATCCATCATCGCCTCTGCTATTTTTGCCAGATGGAAAGAATTCAACCAGTTGATTTCGAGACGGTGGATTGGGGTAGCTGTTTTCGAGTCGGACTTGTCTTCGAGAATAGCTTCATGTGTGTCCTTGTAAAACGGACTGTGGCCGATTATTCTGGTACGTATACATGTAGACTCGTCAAGCGTTTGGTTCTTGATCTCGCACTTGATACTTGATCAGTTCTGGACTGGACTTCGTTTTATCTCCGCAAATTGACTTGGGAACAAAAGCCAGCATATGTGTTGTATCAATTGAGTGCGGTGTGGTTGGATTTTTGACTGGGAGGTGTAGGGGCGAGGGGTCTCTTTTGGGGAGGAACAAGGAGGGGTTCTATAGGGGAAGGAGTCCTGGTTAGAAATCGGCAAATTCCTTGGCACATTTTTCTGAGGAGGAGATGCGAAGGACCTCTTCTTCGTAGTCGTCAAAGTTGCTGGGATCGCTGGCGCTTTTGACTTTGGGTACGAAGGGCGCTTCGACCTGTGGAAGTAAAATTGGAGGGGAAAAAATGGATTTTTGGGATTGATTACTTTGATTTGTTTTTTTAAAATAAATCTTTAGTCCAGTGTTTTAGAGCTGTACGTAGCTTTGAATTCTGGGAATTTAAGCAAAATGAAGTTTGTGGTTGGAGGTTTAAGTACTTACGTAACACAAATGACGCACATCACATGACATTTTGACTGGTAACCTGTATCCACCAAGCACAACTCAGCATATTATATTGAGCTGAGCAGCTTCATGAAATTGGCCCCTGACTAATTAAAGAAGGCAAGAGCCATTTCTGAAACTCTGGCTCCACTCCAGCTCCTGTTATTTCCAAAATTTGGCAGAAACTGAGCCTCCAAGGGTACCCAACTTTGTAGACTTGTTTGAAGTTTAAGAATACAGCTTGAATAACTTTGGCCAAGAAGGGAAGGGCGGGGAGAAAGTGAGGGGGGGGGGGAGAAAGTGAGGGCGGGACAAAGGTCAAGGGGCCTGGGGAGGGAGGGGGGATTTCATGAATGTACCTTCTTCTGATAAATTGCGATCCAGTCCGTGCTTCCAAACCACCTCGCTCCTTTGATGTCCGCGATGCCGTTCTTGAGGTTACCATAGCGTTTGGTGAGGTCCACTTGGAGTAGGTTGCGCAGCAGTTCCTTCAGGTCAGCGCTGAAGTGCGATGGGAACCGGACCTGCAGGGTACCAGTTGGGTTTAGTATTGCACAAAACACTGCTTGTGTATAAACTCTTATTCCCACAACCACCAAGACGAGGTAAACCTAATGAAGTGGTCCCAGTGCACACAATTTCTATCTGCGCACGGAGCCCCATATGTACTTCAGACACATTCACCTACATGCGCTGAAAACTCCCAAAACCTAAATTACCGTTTTCATATCAAATGTAATGAAAATGCACTTTATTCCTAATCTTTCCCCATGCTTAGCATGCAAATTCCACAATTTAATGCATGGAATATTTTATGCCGAGTCGGAAAAGGGCATGGTACAAATCTAAGTCATGTATAGTTCGCACTACACACGCGCGAACACGCATGCGTACATGGTACGTCTCGTCCATGGGGTTCTCAAAAGTGGTCAAAAAGTGCCCTCTCTTGTTTGTGCACTGAGCGCATGGGCTGGATTTAGCGCATTTGTTGTTAGTACGGGGTAATCCTATACAATAGCACTGCCCGTCTCACAAGTGACAATCGGGGAGTCAGTCAGTCAGTCAGTTAGTGGGGTAGGTGCAAAAAGGACAAAAGGTTGGCCCTCTGGGATCTGAAATACAATATCAACTGACTTACTTTCCCTGAGACGATTTTCTCGTAGATCTGAATAGGCTGGTCGGCAAAGAATGGCGGATAACCGGCCGCCATCTCGTAGATTAAGACACCCATGGCCCACCAATCAACAGCCTTGTTATATCCCTGGGAAAGAGAGAGAGATAAAGAATCTCTTAATGAGGAAGGTGTAGAACTACAAGAATGTGAATTAATTGTATGGTTTGAAATCACGGGGTTTGAAATACTGGGCCGGGTTGAGAAATGTACATGTATAAGTGTTTGTCTGGATGTGTGTAGTGGTTTCTTGTCATGTTATGTTTTCTTCACAATTTATGTCAAATGTTACACGTAGAGCTGCATTTGGGAAATTACGTAAAATCTAACGTACGTCCGACCACATGACGTACATGTACAAGGTCGTTAAGGTGGTGGTACCTTAGTTTAGTCTGTAATCGTTTTCTACTCATTAGATGTAAACAAATTAGTGATGTATCACATTCACTTTTCCAACAGCAACTCATTAAATTGTCTGACGTGTACGTCCAAATTTATGGAATTTCCCATTTGTCAAAGTCAAATTTCACAATTTTTTGAGCTTCTGTTTTTTTAAATTTTTTCAATTTCTTGGAGCTTTATTGTTATTTCTGTTTCTTAAGAATGCTTTTAAAAATGGCTAAAACCTTTTTTTTGTGCTTTTGTTTTTTGGCACAGGTCCTATAAAAAACAACAGTTCTGAGGTAGCGAATTCATTTTAGCTGCATGTGTACTTTCTCCGTTGTCGGATCTTTACCACGAGTGATTTTGTTATTCTTCCTCTTTAACAATAAAAAAAGAAAAATTAAATGCCAAACTCCATTGCATTCCTACACAAATACAACACTGGTAGTCTGCACTTTAAGATAAAAAGAAACCGAAACACACAAAATAAACACCTAGATTACATGTATAATACCAAAAAAAAATTGATACAATTAGAATAATTATCATTTTGACAATACCATTGGACAGGTAAGGTCTAAAGTTCAGGACAGTATCTGAATTGCGGGTCGATATCCTGTCCTGTATCGGCCCAGTACCAAATAAGATAACAACCCTCCCCCTGCACAAACAGTATTACCGGCGAAAACCTCGCTGTAGGAGACACGATGGGGATAGGCTAAAGAAAACAAGGGCAGTCCTACATTGCACTGCCTCTACAACCGTGTGTGGATGGATATGCACAATGCTTGCATTGATTGGTCTGTGGACTGGCTACAAGATGTCACAGCCGTTCATTATAATGTACATGTACATGTACAGTGTTGTGTGCTTATCTGGCTGTACATGTACATGGTCCGGGCATATGCAGTATGGAATAGGACACTCATATATGCACTACATTTGCATGTTTGTCCAAAGCATGATTTTCTGAGGGTGTGTGAAAAATAGGTGCATGTACATTCTGTGTCATATTTAGTTAATGTGAACCTTTAAGTCTCCTCACTGCCTAAAATGTACATACTTACATGTACACAAACTGACACTAAGACTTGTTGATAGTTTTGAGCTGGATTACATGTATAGGCTTCAAATTGACAATCTGCGCAGGAAATAATTAAATAAAATGTCCACCAGTTTTCATGTTTATGTTCAATGAACATGTTGATAGATTAACCATTTTCTGGAGTAATTATTCATTGATTGAACCGATACAAAATTCTTCCAGATATTGATGGCAATTTTCAAATGCTCTTGAACTCCTTCTAAATCACTGTTTTTCACCATTTCATTTGCCACACAATTAATACATCTACAGCTTAATGAACTACATGTACAGTAATAATGCTTGGATTTGAACAATAAAAAAAGAGAGATAAATTTGAGGTTGTCAAAGCAATTTTCAACAGGTCATGAAATATTCATGCAATCACCTCTTTCAAGAGACATTTTGTTTTTCACAAATTCATTTGGCAAACAATTCATACATGTACAGCTTAACCTCCAACATTTTGCACTTATGTTCAAATGAAGGATACCCAGCGCCTCAACCCTTCAAAATCATCCGACAGTCCTGTCTGGCTGCTTCAAAACAATGCATTCATCCCCAATCCTCCGAAATCCTCCTCTTCTTCAAACACCATTCATCCTCAATCCTCCAAAATCCTCATGTGCTGTAAAACACCTTTCATCTTCAATCCTCCAAAACCGCCATGAGGATTTTGGAGGAGTGAGGGTTAAATTAAATGTAATATTGAAGATTTGGCAACAGATGTATCCGTCAATGAAAAATAGATTCACATAAATATTTAAACAGCTGCTTCCACTGCAGAGTCTGTCCATAAATCCGAGAAACCAAAATAAACTAAACGCCGAGAGTCTGCAAGGAAATTTGGATTCAGTGTCAGTCATAGACATTTCTGAGAAGGAATTTGCATAAATTCCAAAAGCACGGTGAATCAAAACAGCTATCAGAGAATGGATGAGATCTTTAGTGATTAAAATGAAGTTCACTTATACAGTACGTATGTACGGTTGTAACCAAGTACATGTACGTCACTTACAAAAACAACCCTGTCTGTTTTGAACACCGCGATTTGTTCTTCATAAATATTAAATGCCACGTTCGTAATTACCTTACGCATCTTGGTGTTTATAAGCGAGGCCATGTCAAAATCTAAAAATGGAAGATTTATTTTGTAGCGGAAATACAGGCTGTTTATATGAATGCACATATGCTATATTTGTAAGATATTTTTGTAAAAACTGTTTCAATTTAAACTTGAGATAAATGGAATAAAAATTCCGGAGTATTTACAAGCCACTCTTTTGAAAAAAAAAAAAGTGGCCTTTGATGGAAAATACAAACAAATATATGAACAGAAGTTTTCCGTCACCAAAATGATGTCAGCTCAATATATGGACAAATTAGTCCCAGGAGTAGAATGTTCTTTTCATAAGTTCTTAGACTGCACTGAGTACACAGAGTTAGATTTTGGTTTTGGACCACTAGCTTGAACTCTGGAGGTCGTTCAAAATGGCTGCGATATTCACTCTTTCAACTGTCTCTTCCCTTTCAAACATCGACCTTTTAAAGTACTTTCATTCAAATCTTCCAAATAATTTGATCGGCAGGACTCTGGGAGACAAGTCTGAAGTGAGTGAAACTCGTTCTGTAAAGTAACAAATACAGACATTTTGTAACTAACCTTGCTGAGGATGATTTCTGGGGCGAGATATTCCGGCGTCCCGCACAACGTCCACGTACGGCCCTTCACCCTCTTGGCAAAACCAAAATCTGTTACCTGCAATGAGTAAAGAAATAGCTCGGGTCAAATTCAGAAACAATATCCCCTCAACGGAGAAACAGAGAGAGTTGGAGGAGGGGGGGAAGGCCCCACCCCTAGGTGAGAGCGTTGTTGGTTAAACGTCTTACCGAGATGTAGCCCGTTTTGTCGATGAGTATGTTCTCTGGTTTGAGATCCCTGTAGATGACGTCCAGGTAGTGTAGGTACTCAAACGCAAGGACTATTTGCGCTGCATAGAATCTTGCATGGGGTTCACTGCAGACAAAAAAAAAGTGGAAAAATGGAGAAAAAAAAATTAAAATAGTTTCAAAAATATTATTTTTTCCAATTCAGGAAAACTAACATCTGGGGCAATTTTCTTATTTCCCTTACTTATACATGTATACAGCATTTTGTGAACATGTATATTTCTGTAAAATTTCAGCCTGTTCTTGAAGCAAAGATTATTTACAAGAATTACAAAATCACTGAAGAAGAGATTGCTCAGAAAAGGCCTTGTCCTTGAAAGCAAGTGCGTCAGTAGACAGACTCGCCAATTCCAAGAAATTTGGCTCTTTGAGGTTGTGTTCTTCACGTTTTATTTCGCTTCCGTGTTTCAGCTTCCGTGTTTACCCCTGCCTAACCTGAGGAGCTGTAGTCTCCGGATATGGTCATGCTTGAAATCATTTTGCATTTTATTTTTAATTTTGTGAGTAGGCTCGAGTGGCAAAGGATCAATATGATAAAAATGCAGATTCTGGACAGCAGCGCTATTAAACTGTGAAATCTTCACCAAAATGTACTTTAACCCTCCATTGCCCTTATTAATCCGCAAGAATATGATTTTTCAGCAAAAGGAATCACATGTTTTGGGGTAAGCTACACCAAATTAACCAATATTCCCTTGTCCTCTTATTAACCAATTAAATATTCTTCAGGATTTTTTTTTTCAGAGAAAAAACAGCAACGCATAAAACCCTCCCGACCGCACTGAAAATTTCAAAATGATATTTGAAAATATTTCTGTCAAAAAGTGTATTGGGGAAAAACAAAATTGTGGAGAGTGCAATTGGCTGCAGGGGATAATAAAATGGTGATTGAAATGCCGTGCAAATGTAAACGCTGAATACGTTTTTGCTCAAACACCTGTCTGTTTATTGCGTCTTATGAGCAGAGGCTTAGATGCAGGATTTAAGCAAAGTATTTGAAAAGAAAAAATAATATATTTTAATACCAATGCAAGAGGATTATCAAAATAAGCATAGTTTCAAGCAGCTGTCAGGCAGACACAAAATTAAAAAAAAAAAAAATTAAATTTTACAATTTTTTTCTTCAAAACTTTAGAGATTACTATACAAATACATGCTTTTAATAAGACAAGATAAGTTTGCGGTAGCACCATGTGAATAAATGTCTTTTGTGAGTATGTGTGGTTCTGAAAAGAACCGGAGGGACTCAACATTGCGAACAGTATGCTCTGCCCGTCGTCAGGAGAATGAGGGATTCCTACCGCAAACTTATCTTGTCTTAGTATCTTTCCACCATGCAAACCTTCAAATCTCATCATGCTTTTAATAAACAAACATAACTTGTTTGGGGTAGAACTACAAAAATTTGTCACAACATTGCTCACTGTTAAGCAAAGTATGTAGGCAGGAAGCCTGTTTTAATATTTCAAAGCTTGAGTATCCCATACAGAGCATAATTTTCATGTACAGTGGCTCGGTGAAATTGCCCTAAAAATCCCCAGCAATCAAAGAGGAATTTATTCCGGTACCTGAACCGCCCGATTCGCCGTAAGTGTGAGAACATCTCTCCTCCGGGTATAAACTCCAGCACCATGTACAAGTTGGAGTTGTCCTAATAAACAAAACCAAAAATAAATGGAAATAATGAGTCATTCAATTAAAAACAAGGAAAACAAACTATAAAATAATTTTGTTTGTTTTTAAAGGTTCAATAATATCTAGAATACAAGAAAACTGAAAATTGCAATTTGTAAAGGAATTGCATAAAGAAGATTTTAAGCAATGATACATGGAACGTCTTGACAATGTACATGTACTTGCAGTATTAAATGTACATGTGTGTAAACATCAACTTGTTCTCATGGAAAATGCCGTTCTTGAATTCCAAGAAATGATGGCCCTGAAATTTATTCTCTGAGTTTGCACACATAAAGACGATTTTTATTTGGATACATTTTCCCTTCCACCAAATGTATAATGCATGGTAAATTTCAGGTGCATTAACATAAGCGGAATGTTCAATGTACATGTACATGTACACGTAGCGTTCATTCATTTTATCACTATTTAGAAGTGCATGTATGTGTACACAGTATATGGGGAAATAAACAGAAGCGCCCATATACATGTACATGTCATGCAATTACCGATGCCCTACATTATCAAGATCACCAAGGACAACCGTAATAACATCTTATGCACTCGTCAGAGCGGATAGATTCAACAGCTCTTGCATCCAAGTGATGCCTAATTATTAATTTCCAACGCAACATGTCGTTCTCGACTCCTACGGTTTACATTTACCAGATAAAGCGAGGATGTAATTCACGGGGGATGCATTAATGGAAGTCTAGAATCTTTTTTTTTTAAATTTGGCCTGACTGTTCATGCAAATTCATAACGACAGTTCTCAGAAGACCCCCACAAGGCTCATTCATCGGGCGACAAGTGCGAAGGCGACGGAGAAGATGGGGTGTGGAGACGGTTACTATGGGCCGAGGTTGCCCTGGCGATGTCAGATAAACGACGATGCAATCGACGCGGGCGGATGGCATCACCGACGCCGGGGTATTAAAGACCACTTTTCATGTATGCTGAAAGATTTTTTTTTTTTAATGATGAAAAGGAGTGACTTCCTTAGTATACCCAAAAAAAAAAAAAAAAAAGCCCGTCACCAGAAATTTGATTAAAATGGCCTTCGGACTGGCAAGAATGCGACGTTAAAAATTCCCCGAAGCAAATATTTAGAAATTAAGCCACGGGTAATTCGATTTCACTCCTCATTTTCAGGAAAATCTGTCAGCCAGTTTGCGTGGCAAACTGAGTAATATAATCATGTCTATGAGCATAATCAGTGGGCATGTGTTGTTTTCAACACTACTTATACAAACTGACATTTGATCACGAGATGCACCATATTAAGTGATCTACATGTATAAAATGAACATATTACATTTTTCGGAACAGTCTCTTTCAATCAAACTGGCCTGTATTTTATCAATTTGGGCTTCACTTACAACGTATCCAATGAGTCTATGTACGTGTATATAATTAGCCCTATGTTAGAGCTGGGACATCGCTGTGATTTAATTACCATTAGTCAATGGCCAGTACTGTCAGGTTTTCAATAAATGGCGGCACGCATGGCCAGCCATCCATGTCGTTTGTAATGCTGCCTCCTGTACAATGTATCGGTACATGTACGTCCAAGAAAAATCTCTTCACACAATGCTGAGGCAACAACATTTGTGATATCCTTGTTGCACATACCTATTGATGGCAACCAAGGCAGTGAGGCCATTTACATTTCTACATAGTTAATATGAATTCTCACCAATTTTTAATTATCAAACCATTAAAAACATACATTTTAAACAATAACAACAAATCATACAATGTCATAATAGCAACCTTAGTGCCACATTATAAACAAGTTGTAGTAATGTGCGATGTCTCAAATGAATTTTCACGTTACAATGATCAGAAAAAGTATTTCAGATCAGCAATCGACCACAACTCTTGCATACTGTGCTGCAAGAATGTGCAGTAGTGATACCTATTAGAAGAATAAAGTTTACGTCCATCGTATTGCAAGAAACAACTGACGGACAAATGCCATGCTAACGACAGTGAACCCCGACAACTGTCTAATTTATACAATGTGCGTCATTACTGTGATCCTCAAAAGCTTCATAATGTCTTCTTGTAATAAGATACACGTACACACAGTGCACCATGTACATGTACAGTATAGCATTACCATGTACAAAGTGGGATACCTCAAGCCATATTAACATTAAAGGCATGCTTGTAATTCAAGTTCTCCAATAAAAGTCTAGTTAAGGACTCCTCTACATGTCCAAGATCTCTTTAGATCTTACACATTTTCATCATTCGAAAATGACTTATAAAATGCGGCCTCCTTAATCCTCCTTTCCCTGTAATTTTTCAAGAAATCCAGGAAATAGATTTTTTCCTTGTTTTTTGATTCATAAAAGATCACTATTTTTGAAAGATAAAAAGTATCTACAACACTCTCCTAAGTGCTCTCCTTTAACCATTTTGTTTTTGCCTATTTCCCCAAAATTATTGCCAATCATCACTGATCATGTTATTAATATTGATTGCCATTTACTTTATTTATGTATTTATTGCCATATTTGTTGTAATTTATTTCAGTTATAATTATTGCCATTTATTTAAATATTTACTGCATAATTAATTGGATTAATAGCAAGCTTTTGAAACATGTTTTGGAAAGTAGTGGAAGTCTTCCAAGAACAAGGAATATATTTTATTTTTGAAGTGAATGAAGTTCATGGACCTGTGACCGTGCATAAACAACGAGGTGTGATTAGGGCGGCAAAAAATAGAGGAAATATTCACTCAAGCGGGAACGTGATTAGAGCGGTTTGGACACGTGCGTTCGTTTGCACGTGACCACGGTTCTCGGTCTTTACCCCCTAGGGCATGATCTGAGGAGAAGGGGCCTCTCAAGTTAAAGATTTTTATCAGTCGCCGGAGCCATTTCTCTGAAGCTACGGAAAGAGAGGGGTTTTTTGGGGGGGAGGGGGGGGGGGGAATAATCCAAGGTCAGTGACCTATTAAGGGTCAGATGATTTCATTAAGTCAGTAGTGCAATGGTTCGTTGGACAGGGAGGAAGGTTCAATCACTACAGGTGTGCCCTTTTGGTCAATATAGCTGAACACCTTCGATTTTTGTTAAATTTGTCCCTTTTTTCCCAATTCTCTTATATGTATGATTCTTCATATTCAGGGCCAAATTTCATAGCGCTGCTTAACAGTTAGCAGAAAAATTGTGCTTACTATAGCAGAAAATTGTGCTAACCTTAAGCACTCTTTCATGGAGTGGATGTGCTAAGGTCTACGCGCATGGAGATTTATATTGTTACGTCACTGGTTTAAGAAACTTTTTCCTATGAGGTAAGCGTGCCTTTTGCTGTGCTTACTGCTTACGGTCTCCATGAAATAAACGGAGGCTCTGTAAGCAGAAAATCGTGTGCTTAGCGCCATGAAATTGGGCCCTGATCACTTTATTCAATAAGAAGATCACAGCGTCCGTTTCTTTCTCAATATCAACAATTAGCCGATGAAGGTGATTTATGTTGCTAAACAAGTTTAATTTCTTTATTTTTTTACAAATTTTGGTAAAGAAATGGTTCTTACCTTGAAGTGAAACTCTAAGCTAACAAGGAAGGGGAAGCTGATGGATTGTAAGATCTTCTTCTCGTTCAGCGTGTGTTCTACTTGCTTCAACTTCACAACCTGCGACGGGGAAAAAACACCATTTAAAAAAGTGAGATCTATCTGGACCTCTGCATTTTACGGTACGAAGCATCCAGACTTGTATGACTCATGACTCGGACTCGAGTCCGCCTCGAGTCCCATTTTCTGTGACTCGGACTCGAGTCATGATGACAAATGACTTGGACTCAGACTCGATCCTGCAGACTCAGACTCGACCTGCGTGACTCGGGACTCGAACTAAAGAGAGGTGACTCAGACTCGGACTCGATGTTCAGTGACTCGAACACAAATCTGGAAGCATCAGCCAAAGGCTGACACTGTGAGGCAAACTAATGACTCAGTTTAAATTATATTTTTTTGTATCCTTAGAGGTTTAAAATTAACATCAACATACATGACACTTTTAAACAATGTACATGGACATGTACTTCATAAAACGACAAGTCTCATAAAATGTAAAGTCAATGTCAATTTAGGACACAAACAGTTTAACTTCCTTTTTTTCTCAAAAATGTTAATAGGAAAAGGCACTGGACTTCAACACAGGGTGAAAAGTAAAATCTTATAAAAAAAAAAAATTAAATGCATTTTCTCAGTTGTTCTGAGGTGTGCACAATTTTTCTTTTCATGTCCAGATGATGGAATATCGTGAATGATTGCCAGATACAGCTAGAAACTTCCGAGTGGCCAAAATTTCAATTTCTGCCTTGATTTATATTTTAGTTCTCATTTGCTGACATGTACATTCCGCAACAACTGAGAATACTTCAATATCAATGCCAATTGAAAAAGGAACTTCCTTCTTGTAAAAAATCTCCTGAATAGAGCTTCGGTTTATTGTACCAGTACCTTTCGAAAAACCTATTGATTAGGTAATCTTTGTTGCGCTGTACGCATCATTCACTATTCATGACTGATCAAAGAGAGACATGCCACCGTGGGGAAAGCATTCTCCGACAGCCTTTTGCCTAAATGGCCTTTCCAATCGGGCTACGCTTCGCTTGACACGCTGGCTGATTAGTGACTGGCGCTCCTGACCTAAAAATAGCCGGCGCCTTAAAGGGGCAACGCTCTGCCTTCATCATTTTGGAATGACAAGGGGCTGAGTTTCATGGACAGGCTATGCAGAATAAATATTGCTTATCAAATTCTGATACTACAGATAATGTACATTTGCTTTGGCTGTAATTTTCAGAAATGGGTGGATTTGGGAGTAAATATTTTATAGCAAATATTGTTACACTGACCTGTTTAAAGTTTTGGTTCATAGATGCTGGAAAAACCACCCAAAAAATACTGTTCTCGTAACCTGGTTCCCTGACCCTACTTCAGACCAAAAATATTAATTTATAGATGTCAGGGAATTGTCAGGTCAGGGAATCCGGACTAGCTGGCTTGCACCCGTTCACGGATGTGTAACCGATTGCAAACAGAATGTGGAATAACTAAATTTGGTAAATTGGGGGCAGTATTCGGAAGTGTCAGTTTTTTCCAGCGATGGTGCAGCCACTTCCCATCGACCCAAGGTTGTGCTATTTCCAGCTGGAGCCAAATAATTCCGACATAGCCTTAGATTAGCCCCCAAAATAATAGTTCTGCTTCCGTTTACCTTGCCTACCCTATTTTGACAGCCCTACGCTAATTTTTGTTGGGGGAAAAATGAGAAAAACAACCCCAAAATCATCAATTACTTCCTTTTACCCTTGAATACATGCAGACACCTCCATATGATCGTACACAAACAAAAATTGTCCCCCCCCCCCCCAAAAAAATTTCCCTACCTACATTTACCGACCCTACATTGTGTTTTCAAATGCCATGTAATCGGAAGCAGAACGATATTTTTTTGGCCTTTATACGAACCTGCCCAACTCCATCAAAATCCATCCCTCATTTTGGTGGATTTTGGGGGACTTGGTTCTGCAGGCCTAGTTTGAAAAAATGATGGAGTATGATGGACTTGGGCCTGGAGGCCTAAAGCAAAGCAGGCATTGGAAGCAGTGTGATTGATGGATTTTGGCAGACTTGGTCCAGTACTTAGTAAAAGACAGTAGGAGTTAAGGTCAACCAGTTTTTGCTGAGTAGATATTTTATTCGCTTAGCATTTCTTTTTTACTTTTGACAGCTTCATGAATTTTCTTTTGCTGAGTAGAAATATTATGCGCTTAGCATTTCTTCTATACTTTGACAGCTTCATGAAGTTGTTCTCTTGTGCTTACTGAAGGATAAGATATTGAGATGGAAGGGGGGTTTAAGGTAAATTTGTTTCCATACCTTTTGTTTGTCGAGGATCTTCATTGCAAAAAAATTACCGGTGGCTTTGTGCTTGACCAGCATGACTCTGCCAAAGGAGCCAGTTCCTAAGGTTTTTAATCGCTCAAAGTCGTCTAGACATGCTGTGTTCTGCAGGAGAAACAGAAAACAAGAACCAAAAACCATTATGAGATGGGGCTTCAAAATATTCTTCTTTTTTTTTAACTTATCAATTTTAACAATCTGGAAAATGTGTTACTCATTTGGAAATGGTTAAAATGGTCTTTCGTGAAAATACTTTTTAAGATACAAAGTGTGCCAATAAAAGTGCAACATTCAGAAAACAAATAAGTAAAACTGTTTAATGTTTTTTCTTCTCCAATGAAATTATATATTACATTAAAGCCCGACTACATTTACATGTATTTCTCTATCCACTCCGAGTCCTTTTTACCCCATTCCATTTGGGTCCCTAGATCCAGAAACACAATCAATCAAGTGAAAGGGTGTAAATTTTACTTGGGCCACTCTCACCTGGACTGGGTTAAGCATTGAATAGGCATTGAATAGGTATTGGATTGGTGACATCACATGTGAAAGTGGCCCAAGTAAAATGTACACCCTTTCACTTGATTGACTGTATTTCTGGATCTAGGGACCCAAATGGAATGGGGTAAAAGGAGTGGATTGAGAAGAAGTCAGGCTTTAATGTAATATATCATTTCATAAAAATAAAAAAAAAACAATTTTTACTATTTTTCTGGATGGTGCACTCTGTATATAAATCACATTATATTTAGTGCGCGTGAACTAGCTTAAGTGTTGGGTAACAGAATGTACTTCAAGCACTCTTGTTACTAGCTTAGACAGCGCCCTCTAGTGCATGCCTAAGCCCATCAGGTTGTTGTACTCACTTGTGTAGGGGTGTCCCATTTCTTCTGACATTCCTCTTTTGCTTGCGCTAGGAAGTTTTTCACTGTAAACAAAAATGGAGTAAAAGGTAAACGATTAATACTTTGCTAATTCCTGTTTTGCAGCAGCTTCGCGAAATACACGTAGGCCCTAATTCAAATGGGCAATGAATGTTATCGACAAATCTGAGAGCTTTCAATTCGTCTTAAATTATATGTTAAATAACAACTTTGATCAACTAGTGTCCCTGTTTATGCATCCGTAAGAATATCAGTTTGAGTGAAAAACAAAATTGAGTTGGCATACACACAAAACATCGTTTCCAAAATCTAAATCTCACGTGAAAAAAATAGCCGTTTGTTTATTTTTTTTTTTTTTTAATAGCGCTGCTTATATATTGAACCATGTTATAGCAGATACCTTGAATGGTTTATAGACTTTCCACTGCAAAATAAAATGTGGATTTGAAAAAACTTTGGGTGTTGATCAGTCCATTTCTCATTATCAATTCACATTGAAATCAGGCTCTTAATTTTTTGGAATGAAATTGACAACCCAGGATTTTCTTCTTCTTAGATATCAGGAATTGTGTGTGAACTTTTGTGAAACTGTAGACAACTTTAGGTTTTTGAAAATTTATTAATAAAACTTTATAATAAGTGGGATGATAACGTAGGAATATGCATGGAACAGGCACATGACTGTGGAATTTTGGCATTCATTTTCTCGTCAGGTTTGGTGATACGACTAGCGATGTCGATGTCCATGCTCTGTCATGAATGCATGCAAGCAGAACGAGTGAATTATCTACTAATTACTGGTACGAACTATGAGCTAAATACGGTATGCCCTTGCATGCTAATGCACAAGGTATCAAAAGAACATCGCTATGAAATGTGGCATGCTTTTTGACAAATGAGCTCTTAGTACACAAATGGAAAGTAAAGTATAGCATAATGAAAGGTCCATATCACTTGCTAAGTTAAGTCCTTCAGAAACACGACTACATATATATGAAGAAGTCTTTTTTTTCCCACCGCATGTAGACGACTTTGAATGTATGTGTTTTAACCTTCAATGCCCAACATGCAAGTTTTATATTCACACAAAAAAAATCCAGTAAATACTACATGTACACATGCCTAATAAGTATTTCTGAACAAGCACATGTACAGTATGCATTCATCATCATGAAGAGGACAGAACATGCTGTAGGCTCCGTGCAGAAGTACCCCCTCAACGGTAAGAAAGGGAGAGTTGGGGGAGACCACTGGGAGAGACATTCCAACGCATTGCTGATGATGCCCGACGCTCACGTGAAGACGCTATGGCGTTGTGTACATTCAGGATAAATAACTTCGCACAATACTTCGCGCAATACGCGTACGATTGCGTACCAGTACGCTCACACGGTGTGTCCTGTCCACGGGGCTCTCAAAAGTGGTCAGAAAGCGCCCTCTCTTGTTGGCGCACGGAGCCCCATATGTACTTCAGACACATTCACCTACATGCACTGAAAACTCCCAAACTCTAAATTACCGTTTTCATATGAAATGTAATAAAAATGCACTTGATTCCTAATCTTTCCCCCATGCTTAGCATGCAAATTCCACAATTTAATGCATGGAATATTTTATGCCGAGTCGGAAAAGGGCATGGTACAAATCTGTGTGCTCTGAATAAACACACAGCGAGTTTACCATTGATGGCTGCCATAAAATGTACAGGTGTATGATGTACAATGTAGGTGAGTCTGTATAAATTGTTACATGTATATCCGGCCTGACATAACCAGCCCATGGTTTATCATATCTACTGGTACGTGTGCATGATTAATTTAAGTAGAAAATCAACAATCAGTGAAATTAACTCTAGGAGCAGTTTACTCTATTCGAAAGGCAATTTACAATTATCTAATTATTTATCGCTCAGAGAAACTGTTCTGCCTTAAGCAACCAATACGATCTATGCACTTTCAATAAGGGGTTCTTTCGAAACCTCATCTTCATTCCTTGCTTCAGGTGATTTTACCACAAGAGTCAGGGTTAACCAGTTAAATCTACATACTGCACTCGGCACATTTGCTACATTTGTACTTGCCGTAGCTTGACAATGGCAGAACACGTATGCAATATCAAAATCTTAGAAGTAGACATACACACCGGCACACGTAAAAAAATAGTTAGACAATATTTATTTCACAATCAGAGAGTGGCAAGGTGTAGACGCTACAAAGTACAATGCATACCACAGTCAAGAGAGAATGCATTTAACGATTATAATTTCCCTTCCACCAAGCCTAGCAAATGATTGTACAAGGTCTGAACATGGACTGAATGTGAGGGTAATAAAATACCCAGTGTGCATCCCTGTAAAATCTTGCATGCTTAACTACATGTTTGCTATCAATATAATATGGACTGGCATGCCTATTGTCAGTCCACATTTTCATTATAAAATCAGTGTCAAGATCATCACCAGTTTACACCTGGGATGCTCTAGGGAACTTCGTTGACAGGTGAGAGAAAGAGATAGTGCCTGCACACTAGAATGTCACCCTGTGGCCTGGGTCATTACTATTCATGACTTGTCCTGTACATTGACCAATCAAATCAGTCCAGTAGGACTCAAGGGGTCAAACGGCAAAGAACAAATGAGATAATCATGGTTCTGATGGTTTTTTTTTTAAAAGTATATTGCAAATTTCCCAAATATGTTGACAATTTTTTGTTTGCTTACAAGTTACATGAAATATTAGTAGCAGCACTAGAATAGGACAGGACTGTACCGGTACATGTACATGTACATGTAGGTACAGTACAACAGCGGGGCAAACTAAGGCCAAAAAAGAAAGAAATAGTTCTGCTTCCAATTACATGGCATTAAATAGGGTGGGTAGGTAGGGAAATTGTTTTTTTTTTGGGGGGGGCCTTTTTTTTGTGTATGGTCATATGGAAGACTCTGCATGCATTCAAGAGTAAAAGGTAGAAATTGATGGTTTTGGGTGTTTTTTTTCCTCATTTTCCCCATAAAAAAGATAGGGTAGGGGCTGTCAGAATAGGGTAGGTAGGGAAACCGAAAGCAAAACTATTTTTGTTTGGCCTAAAGTAATATGCACACATACATGTACATGTACATAACGTTTACATGTAATTCAAAATTCAATTCAATTTGACTAGAAGGCACATGAACATGTAGCTGTAGAGTTTATGTTACCTGCTGTACCGGTACATACATTGTAATGTAATAGAACTAAAGTTTACCCATGAAATCTACGGAAGTAAATAATACCTCACCCTGGCAGGAACTCAGATTAAAAGCCGTGGAAAATCAGAAAAATAACTACAAGTACTTACTGGAGTCTTTTGTTCCTGGTCGAATCACTAAAACAAAATTGTTGGAAAGCGGTGAAAAGCTTATATAAAAAAAAATACTTGGAAAGCTGTTGCATCAGAATATTTGGAAGCGCAAATTATCATGATTATAAATGCAATTGTTCAGGCAGCCAACAGCATAGAATGTGCCCAAAATATTGTTTTAAAATTAAATTACACAAATTGATAATTGAGATTCCTAAAAAGTAAGCAGAGCATTATCCTCTCAATTAGAAAGAACAGTCCTCTCAACCCCCCCCCCCCCAACAAAAAAAAACTGTGTGGCTGTAAGACAACAGTGATGTACATTTTCCTTAATTGGAATAAAAGCTTCCGTTGAACATTGTGCATGTATTAGGCCCCATGTACTCATTTTGCCACAGCCAAGATTGCATTTACGCCTACGTATTTCACCGACCAGCCAGCAGGGCCGATTCTGTTACACAATCCGACGATACAGGCATCGATAAGCGTTTTGCGTCTCGGTGAAAGGTATACACGTTGCGACCTTTTAGCAGGTCCGAGAACATCGGATTGGAGTTTCACCTCACCCAAGAAAGGGTGCGAAGGAAGCCGCGAGCATTTATTTTAATTGAAAGGGATGCTGGATTTAATGTGAGGGTAAGTTACATGTACCTCTCATCCCGAGACGGCACAGAGTGAGAATAAAATCAGCGGGGAACCAGTTACAAGTGATATAAATTACATGACGTATTGGCTGGTAACCTTTTTACTTGCACCAGTTACATTAAAAAGAAAACAAAGAGTTACTCATAATGCTTGTGAATTCGCATTTAAATACAATAGATACAAGTAAAATCAAGATTTATTTCTCTGCCTAAATCAAATGTGAACACGTACTTTGTCTACAGTATGTTGCACCAGACCAACCCTGTGTTGTATACATCATAGGGGTCTTTTTACTGGAAAACATGACTCGTAAATTCCAAATCATGAACATCATAAATCTTGAAACATTAAAGTTGATGGAGCATGGAACACATGTTACAATGTACACATCTGTTGACATGGTTGACTATAAATATGCAACGTAACACTGCATGGGTATGTACATGTAGAACATAACGAGCCAGCTCTCAAAAATAATGGGAACAAAAATATGTTTACTCGCAACAATAATAACCAGCAAATATCAAGCACAACAGGCAAACACTGTGCATCGTTGGCAAGCAATCAAAGAAGAAAATCAAAAGTGGGTTCACCTACATGATGCTGGTGTGATTGCACCATCTGAGTATAAATCGCGAGGGTGTGAAGCATGCAAAAAGAACAAAGTAACAGTTAGTGTGAGACACAGTGTGGGGGAGGGGGTGGGGGGCTAGAAGGGCTGGGGTGCTTGAGGGATATAGAACAGTGCTGGGGCAGATAGAGAGCATTTGGATAAAGAGTGGGGCTTGTATTTGTTGTCAAAGTTGTGGAGTGACTCCAAAATCACAAACACAAAATCGTAAAAACTTGTTCACGCTTTCTCGGACTTCAAGCAAACTTTTCTGGGGAAGAAAATGTGTCCGCTTTTTTTGTGTGCTTGCAAAATGCCCAGACATGGTTGGTGCTAATTTATGGAAGGCTAGGATTTTAATGGGTTGGGCGGCTAAATTTGGAATAAGCAGAGGGGCTGAAGAGAGACTGAAAATACTGGTGCAGAAAAAGAGAGAAAATGTAGAAAATG